GTATTTTTACAGTCTTTATTTTACAGTTAAAATATGTTTATCAAATAAAGTCTAATGTTACAACTAATCCTGGATCCCTTTAAGATGAATGGTTAAATCCTGCAGAATAAATGGAACAGTTCTGAGCCGGGCCAGTCCTCACCTGGCTGACTGCGAGGGGCTGGGGCTGCGTTTTCTCTTCAGCGCTCTTCCTCCTCGCTCTCTGGACTGAGGCAGGTTCAGCTGTCGGGCGTAGGATGACGGCTCCGAGCTGGAAAAAAATAAATTAAACATCCACAATCAGCTGGAACATGAACATCCACAACTTTTACAATAAACAAGCTGGGTTTTTTGTTCACTTGTTTAAAATTCTGCTAAAAGATTTTTGGCCTTTTTCCTTCAAATATTAATGATTTTATATAAAATAAGCAGAAAAGCAGAAAACAGGTCCACTCTGTTACTATCAATTTTATTTCAAGTTTGTGTTTTTTTTTTTTTTTACCTTGAATCAAATCTGTGCACCACATAGCCGAGCCTCTTCAGATGCCCAAATACCTTTAAAACAAACAAAAAGTCATTAGATCAGTCCTGAAGCACCTTTTCAGGTCATATAATCAAATAAAACAATAATTGCACCTGATACTGCTGCAGACTCAGYGTGTCTGAGGACAGAAACTTCTCGTAGCCGTCCTGGATGGAGAGCGGCAGCTCCTTATAAAACACCAACACGTTGCCCTAAACCCAGAAACACACAGACCACCGGGGTTTGGTCCTGTTTCCTGACTCGTTAAGATAAATAGAGCTGAATAAACAGGATTAATTAGGAGCTGTTTGTTATTGAACCGCCACGTCTGGACCAACAGGTTCTGTCTGCCACTCACACACTCCATCAGGTAGAGAGCCTCTTCTGGGAGAAGGTACTGTTTTCCATTGGCTGAGAAGCCCATCGTCTGCCAAAACTTACCCTGGGAGGTAAAAAGATTATGACACAGTGTAGAAAATACAGCAGAATAATATAGTTTGTGTTTGTTAAAGAGAAATAAAGCAGCTCAGGTTTTAATTTTAACTTTTTTCGTTTGYTCAGACCACTTTTTCATACAAAAGTACAGCATTATGGAACTTATTGCCCCCGCAAGTAAAAGCTACACCTGAAAAGTTTGTTTGTCGTCAGGACTAAATCTTGTGATCACTTCTAGTACTCAGATTTAATGGATGAGAAAGTCTGTGGGACTGTTTGTATTAGTGAGTTAGTGTTAGAGCTGTAAGTTTTAGTTTGTTAGCTGCGTGAGGATGGAGAGGTAGTGAGGATGTGTATGGATATTTAAATAAATCTGGAGGTTGTAAGGCTCTTTATGAATATGGAGAGAGGAAAATGTTTTTTTTTGTTTGTTTCTGATTTATAAATTGAATGTATTTTAATAGCTTTTATTATATGAACTTGAAGGCTGCATGGTTGATTACATGAATATGTAGACAGAAATATGCCCAACCAGGGACTGGATTTGCAAATTAGCTGTAACTATATAGTCTTTGTGCAACACATCAGTTACAGACTTGATTTGTTCTATGTTTGTGTGCACTGTTCCTGCCAAATAAACTAATGAAATAAAAGTTAAAAAAATAAAAATGTATGTTGCTTTGCTGACAGGTTTGTGTCAAACATAAAAAAAATCAGCATCAAAGCTCTTG